ATAAATAAGGAGACCAGTGGTCCCCTTTGTTGTACATTTTTAAAGAAATCAGACATAAGAAATATTATATGAATGCAGAGAGATAAAGCATCAACGATTCTAGACCCGTCTTAACCAACAGACACCTAAAAAGAAAACAAGGGCGGACCAGTGGGTAGAGATAAAATGCATATTAACGAGATGCTAGAGGTTCACTTAAGAACACGACAAGAACACAACTATATGTAGTTAGTTTAATTAATATCCAGGAGCAGAGAGGAAGATTTTTTTAAAGAATTAAGGAGGCTGGGGGACAACAAATTAACCACAAATTCACCATCAGTTTTAACTTATTTTTTAGATACGGTATCATAAGCTGTCAACTATCATTTAGCAAAGAAAACATTCATACATTTTAGTTTTTAAAATTTGATCATTTTTGTATATCTTTATATGGATCTCTTCTTTTAAAGGAGATCAAAATAGTCTAAAAATGGCTGCCACCCCTCAGCCTCTTTAATGAATATAAACTTTACAGTTTATATAGCCCCACCGTAACACCGGAACCCCTGACCTTTGGGTCACGAATTTCAAAACTTTGGAGAGAATACCCTTCCTCATCACAACTTTGCATGTAATTAGTTTGTTTAATATCCAGGGGCAGAGGGAAATATTTTCAAAGAGTAAATGCATTTCATAATTATTATTATTGTCGTTATGGGTATTTCCTGTGTGAACAGAGTGGTGGATCTGTGTGGTTTTTATGTCACGTGACATGGTAATATAAATAGCAGGTGCGTGCTTAAAAGTTACTCTACCGCTCGTACAGAACGTGTAAGGAATGGAAACCAGTAAATTAGGCACACACACACATATATGTATGTATATAAGTATTATTTAATGATTAAAAATAACGTGTGTTGAAATGAATACAAATGTGTTAAATTTGTAATAAACGTTCTGACGAGCAGCATTTCATACATATGAGTTGATTATTCTTTCAATACACAATAAAGAGTATAATTAATATATATTCGGACGAACGAAGTGAGGGAGAATATAAATTAATATAAATTTTTATAGCCCTGTCCTAACTCCTGGACCTCTGACCCTGCGACAATGAATTTCACAATTTTGGTATAGGACTCAATGCTGATTACAATCATGCAAACAGTTTGACTGTTTAATGTCCAGGAGTAAAGAAGAAGATTTTTAAAGATTTCATCAATTCTAGTAATTTCGCCCAAACTTTCTTGCCTTAGGGGGTGGAGGGCAGGAACCATGAATTTAAAAATCTCCCCTTCACCCATAGATGCTTTATGCCAAAATTGGTTGTAACTTGTAAATGGTTGAGGGATTACAGAGAAAAGCTGAAAATGTTCGAATATTAACGCACAATGCACAGCGCACGACGCCAGAAAAAAAAAAAAAACTGATAGCAATAAGTCACATGCGTTGATTCAGGTGACCAAATAAGGAGTCCTTTGGTCTCAATATTTATGTAAAATATTAGGTGTCTTCTGGTCTCCCTGTTGACTTACAATATAATATTATAAGATGACCTCTGGTCTTCTTAATAATGTAAAATATAAAGTGTCTTCCGGTTTCTTCATTGTCGTTCAAAATAGTGTTATCATTAGTTTTAATGATGTACAATATAATGTGACCTCTGGTCCCCCTTCTGATGTTAGATATAAGGTGACCTCTGGTCCCCCTTACTGATGAACAATATAAGGTAGCCTCTGGTCCCACTTCTGATGTACAATATAAGGTGACCTCTGGTCCCCCTTCTGATGTACAATATAAGGTGACCCTAGGTCCCCCTGCTTATGTACAATATAAGGTGACCTCTGGTCATCCTACTGATGTTAAATATAAGGTGACCTCTGGTCCCCCTACTGGTGTACAATATAAGGTGGCTTCTGGTCCTACTGATTCACAATATAAGGTGACCCCTGGTCCCCCTTCTGATGTACATTATAAAGTGTCCTCTGATCCCCTTACTGATGTACAATATAAGGTGACCTCTGGTCCCCCTTCTGATGTTCAATTTAAGGTGACATCTGGTCCCCCCACTGATATACAATAAAAAGTGGCCACTGGTACCCCTACTGATGAACAATATAAGATGTCCTCTGGTCCCCTTCAAATGTACAATGTAAGGTGACCTCTGGTCCCTTTCTAATGTACAATATAAGGTGACCTCTGGTATCCCTTCTGATGTTAGATATAAGATGACCTCTGGTCCCCTTACTGTTGAACAATATAAGGTAGCCTCTGGTCCTCCTTCTGATGCACAATATAAGGTGACCTCTGGTCCCCCTTCTGATGTACAATATAAGGTGACCCTTGGTCCCCCTGCTGATGTACAATATAAGGTGAGCTCTGGTAATCCTACTAATGTTAAATATAAGATGACCTCTGGTCCCCCTTCTTATGTACAATATAAGGTGACCTCTGGTCCCCCTACTGGTGTACAATATAAGGTGGCCTTTGGTCCCCCTACTGATGCACAATATAAGGTGGCCTCTGGTCCTACTGATTCACAATATAAGGTGACCCCTGGTCCCCCTGCTGATGTACAATATAAAGTGTCCTCTGATCCCCTTACTGATGTACAATATAAGATGACCTCTGGTCCCCCTTCTGATGTTCAATTAAAGATGACCTCTGGTCCCCCTACTGATATACAATAATAAGTGGCCTCTGGTCCACCTACTGATGTACAATATAAGATGTCCTCTGGTCCCCTTCTAATGTACAATGTAAGGTGACCTCTGGTCCCCCTACTGATGTACAATATTTATGACCTCTGGTCCCCCTTTTGATGTAAAATATAAGGTGACCCCTGGTCTCCCTGCTGATATACAATATAAAGTGGCTTCTGGTCCCTTTACTGATGTACAATATAAGGTGACCTCTGGTCCCCCTTACTGATGTACAATATAAGGTAGCCTTTGGTCCCCCTACTGATGCACAATATAAGGTGACCTCTGGTCCCCCTTCTGATGCACCATATAAGGTGACCCCTGGTCCCCAAACTGATGTACAATATAAGGTGTCCTCTGGTCCCCCTTATTGATGTTCAATATGAGTTGACCTCTAGTCCCTCTACTGATGTACAGTACAATATTAGTTGACCACTAGTCCCCGTATTAATGTAAAATATCGGGTGACCTCTGTTCCCCGTACTGATGTGCAATTTAAGGTGTCCTCTGGTCCCCCTACTGATGTACAATATAAGGTGACCCTTGGTCCCCCTACCGATGTACAACATAAGGTGTCCTCTGGTACTCCTACAGATGTATAGTATAAGGTGTCCTCTGGTCCCTCTACTGATGTACAGTACAATATTAGGTAACCTGTAGTCCCCCTACTGATGCACAATATAAAGTGACCTCTGGTCCCCCAAATGATGTACGATATAAGGTATCCCCAGGTCCCCCTACTATGTGCAATAAAAGATTACCTTTGGACCCCTATTGATTTAAAATGTAAGGTGACCTATGATCCCTCTGATGATGTACAATATAAGGTGACCACTGGTCTCCCTAATGATGTTAAATATAAAGTGGCCTCTGGTCCCCCTACTGATGTACAATGTAAGGTGATCTTTGGTCCCCCTATTGATTTACAATATGAGGTTACCTCTGGTCACCCTTTATTACTTTCACGTTTCTGCCAATATATGTATTAGAAAGTTGATCTTTATAAAGTTATAAATATGATTATTTTGGAGTAAGACAAAGAAAATTGTCTATCATATAAAATTCAATTATAATAAAAGGTGACCTGAGGTCTCCGTATTGATATCGATGAATTTACTTTTGTGCCTTTAATGCCTGGAGAGTTCCTAGAATGTTTTATTACTACGCAAAATGACGAACTATTTGCGGGGGACCCCAGGTCCTAGTTGAGCGTACGTTTTATCCTTCTGCTCTTAAAACCGGAAGTGTGAGTTCGTAAATTTGAAATCTTGATCCCGACTCAAATTTGACATCGGAAAGAAAAAAATGTTGTTTTTTTTCTGAAAGTTCAAAACCTTGAGCGGAGGGTTTGTAAAACTGAAAATAAAATAAATCCTGACCTTAAATATGTAATTAGATCATTAGTATATTAACCAGGAGCAAAGGATAAGATGTTCAAAGAATTCATGCATTTCATTATATAATCATTAGAGCCCCTCCCTAAAACAAGAACCCCTGACCCTGGGGCCATAAAATTCACAATTTTGGTAGAGGCACTCTTGCTCATCATAATTATGTACTAAGTTAGTTTATTTAATACCCAGGAGCAGAGAAGAAGATTTTCAAAGAATTCCTGTATTTTCACTATATTATCAATAGAGCCCCACCCTAACACCAGAACCCCTGACCCTGGGGCCATAAAATTCACAATTTTGGTAGAGGCACTCTTGCTCATCATAACTATGTACTAAGTTGGTTTATTTAATACCCAGGAGCAGAGAAGATTTTCAAAGAAATAATGCATTTTCACTACCTACTTATTTAGCCCCGCCCTAGCACTAAAATCCCTGACCCCAGAGCCATGAATTTCACAATTTTGGTAGAGGCACCCTTGCTAATTACAATCATGCAAACAGTTTGACTGCTTGATGTCCAGGAGTAAAGAAGAAGATTTTTAAAGATTGCATTAATTTTAGTGGTTTTGGCCCCACCCCTCAGGCCCCAGGGGGCAGGGATCATGAAATTCACAATTTTTGTTCCCCTTCACCCATAGATGCTTTGTGCCAAATTTGGTTGAAATTGGTCCAGTAGTTGCAGAGAAGAAGCTGAAAATGTTCAAATGTTAACACACGACGGACGACGGACGACGCACGACGACGGACGAAATTAAACAGATAGCAATAGGTCACCTGAGTTTACTCAGGTGACCTAAAAAAGATACTCAGTTATTATAGTTATCTTGTAAGTTCAATGCTTGATCATTTCAGCTGTAGTTGTGACAGTGTCTTGTTCATTTTTCCAGTGGTTGTGACAGTGTCTTGTTCATTTTTCTAGAGCCGTATTCACCGGATACCACGGAGTCAGTGGCGGCCGGACTGATCGTCGGAATTGTCTTCGGAATTTTCTTCTTTCTTGTCGTGGGAGCCATCATTATAGCGTGCTGCTACAGACGAGCCCAGGAACTAAAACGCATGGCGATGTACAACAATTCTAATGCTACCGCTGGAGGACGCAGCTGGACCAATGGGGATATCAAATAACTACGAGGCCTACTAAAGAACTGATATTTGACCTGATGAAAAAATATTTCTAACAAATTATCAATTTGAACATTACATTTCATATTTCTGGGGTGAAAATATTAATGATCGAAGCTAATAATATATACTAAAATACACTTTTAGTGGATAATAAGTAGATTTTTTTGCTATTTACGTAT